ACAGTGAGAGACAGAAACCCCAGAGACAGAGAGGGACAGACTCCACAGAGGAGCAGCTCAGAGCCACAGAGGAGCAGCTCAGAGCCACAGAGGAGCAGCTCAGAGCCACAGAGGAGCAGCTCAGAGCCACAGAGGAGCAGCTCAGAGCCACAGAGGAGCAGCTCAGAGCCACAGAGGAGCAGCTCAGAGTCACAGAGGAGCAGCTCAGAGCCACAGAGGAGCAGCTCAGAGCCACAGAGGAGCTGCAGTGAAGTACAGATCTGAGCCATAGAAAATAAATAGTTTGAGAGGCAAGATAAAGAGAAAAAGAGAATCCTTCCTTAAACAGAAATGGAGGACTCTGACATCATCTTTCTCCTATTACAACATCCATCTTCAAACCAAAATCAAAACAAAGGAAACAACAGGGATACCCAGGTTAGGTCCAGAGGTGTGAAAGCTCCATTTATGGCCCTGAAAGATTCTGCTAATAAAACTCAGTGCAAGTTCAGAAGGACTAACTAACAGAAACACAAGTAAACAAGTAGGTGTTAGTTTCAGTAGTTTCACTACAGGCAGCCTTTCCCTTTAGGCAGATATAAGAACATGTCCCCCAGCATTCTTATGTATTTGACCAAATAAATGTTTATACAGTTAAAGTGATTCTTTCTTTTTGCTAAAGTCTTAACCACTCAGACCATACTCCTTCCACTCACATAGTCCAGAGGACACAGTGAACAGTCATCAGATACAGAGAACACAAGGAATAAACCAAGTCTCTGTCTGCTTCCTGCTCAGGAAGGAGTATCACAGCTCTTCATCGTGGTCAGCGAGACCATACACTTTAGAAACACATTTCTCAAGTCACAAACTATAGAAATGATTCCCTGAAAGTATAGTCTTAATGTGAGCGTGTCAACAGCAGAAACTAGAGCCACACACTGAGACTCTGGCTCAGGGGAGGCTGAGAGGACTCCTGATGTGGACAGGTGAGGTCTTTTTGGTTTCAGTTGTCAAATGTGTTTAAATCACAGTTAAAACTTTTATAAGTTTCACTTTCAAACATAGTCAAAAAATGTAAAAATATTAAAGAAGGAGGCTTGGTAAGATTTAGTTTCTTCAGCCTGTGACAAATGGCCAAAGTAGATAACAACACTTTGAAACACACGGCTTCATCACCTCCTGATTTTATTATTATTATTATTATATTTATATATTTTATTACTGCACAAACGAGCAGAAGTGACTGGACTGAACTAAAGGATGACTTTGTTGACTTGTTCCACTGTTATTTTTCAGCTTCAAATACTCAACAAGAGCCACAGCTCAATTCAATTCAGGACACTCCATCTGGCAAAAGTCGGGATAGAACATTTTATATAAAGTGCTCCACTGTTTTTAAACTCTACATCTTCAATAGAATCATTTGAATGATTTCCAATCTGGAATAGCAATCTCTACTGAACTAAAGGTAAAAGGAGCTGTTAAGTTGAAAATTACCACTGCATGACATCACAAGGTGGAACAGAGCATTCTGAGCTTTGGAGATGCAGACAGATTAATAATATAGTGGAACTCAAACATGTTTGAATGAAGAAAAACAACCCCAGGTCTGTTTTTGATGATGAAGTGCTTCATGGGGCTTCATCTCGCCATCACTACTAAACACGGAATAAAAAGTGAAGGCGCAACGCCTCTTTTGCGTCTTCTGTTCAGACCGTCATCATATAAAGCCTTAGAAAATGCTATTGCTGTTTTGGTTTAACTTCATTCAACATCATTTCTGCTTTTGTTCATCAGTGAGCTGAAACTTCTTAACAATCAAGGGAGTCTGCAACATCTGCTCTGCCGTTATAATTGTGTTTTGTTCTCAAGGTAATTATCCAATCAGAAAGCAGAATGAGGCTCACACGCGTCTCTCATTTAGGTTGCCAGTCTCTGTGCTGAAATCCTTTTTTTTAACTGTAAGAGCAAAGGCTACATACAGTTTCCTTAAACATTCCTGAACTCGTTTTTATATTCTTGCTCCTCTTTGCTCATGTCTGGACAGTATTACAGTATTACATTATCACCAGGACTCTTTAGAAATGTGCAAACTACTGATAAAAAAAAACAAACATGCAAAATATAATCTCACAGCTCCTCTGTTTGAGATTACAGCTTTGTTCGCTTCTCAACACTATAAATATTTCTGCTAAAACAGCATCAGGGTCCCAACTTGACAATCCATCTGAATGCAGAGAGCTGAATAATGCTCAAATGTACGGTGGGTTCAGTGAAGACAAAGGGAGACTAAAAATGCGCTCTTCTGTAGTGGGAAGGTTTTGAAGTTTTTCTGTTTAAGTGGCATCGTGGCACAGAAACAAGTGTTTGAGATAGTTTCATGCAGTTGTTTCTTCATCGTTTGTGAATTGAAGTTTAAAGTTTATGGCGTCTGATTCAAGTTGATTTTTTTGTGCAGCACAACACAAACTAATCACAAAAATGACCAAGACTCAGGTCTGTTTAAAATGGTTCAAAGTGAGAATGTGTTTAGTTCTACCGTTTTTGCAATAATAATAATTTTAAAACATTAATTACCTTGTTAAATATAATAAAACTATATAAAACTACATTAAAGACAGAAGAAGATTGGGTTCTTTTAACAATCTGTGTATCATTCGTTCATTTCTTTTTCAATGTAAAACCAAAAATAGGAAAATGAAAAAACAACAATTTTCTTCATTATTTGTCTCCAAAACCAAAATGGAAAACCGGATAATGATTAATTTTTTCAGTTTCAATTTAGTGTTTAAATGAATAATGGGGAAAAACGGATAACAAACGTTTCCTGTTTTCGTGATTTAAACTGCGAAGCCAGAATTTTGCGGAGCATACGGACTAAACCAGGACTAAACCAGGTCCGGGACCAGACTGGAACTAGACCGGGACTGAGACCAGTACATAGACTGATATCAGACCAGGACTGAGGCTGGGACCAGGACCAGGACTGAGACCGGGAACAGGATGAGGACTGAGATCGCGACTAAGACCAGGACCGAGGCTGGGACCAGGACCGAGATCGGGACTGGGGCCGGGGCATGACTGCAAATGGTTTAGTCTTGTTTTAGTCCTGATTTAGACCTGGTTCAGTCCTTATGAGGTGCAGAAGTACGGCATCGCAATTTAAGTCACAGAAACGGGAAACAGGAAATGGCCGTTATTCGTTTTATCCATTCTTCATTTAAACACAAAATCAAAAACGGAAAAAACGAATCATTATCTGTTTTTTTTGTTTTTTTTGTTTGTTTTTTCATTTTGGTTTTGGAGTCAAATAATGAAAAAAAATAGTTGTTGTTTTTGTGATTTTCCTATTTTATATTGAAAAAGGAATGAACGGATGATACACGGATTGTAAAAAGAACCCAATCTTTTTCTGTCTTTTTGTCTTTTATGTAGTTTTATAATCGCTTTCTGTTTTTTTCACTTTGGTTTTGGAGACAAATGTTGTTTTTTGTTTTCTTATTTTTGGTTTTATATTGAGAAAACAAATGATACACAGATTTTTTAATGGTTCCAACCCTTCAAAGAACTCAACTCATTAGCAAACATTACATCACTAAATAGCGCTGTCTGCTGGCTGTCTGTAAGAACTGCGTGTGATAGAAATACATTGGCTGTGTCTCATTTCTCTTTTTTTCTCGCTTCCTTCTCCTTGATTCCTCTCCTTGATTCTGCAGGAAATGGGTGAGGAAGTCCCACCCACAGAGGAGACATAAGGAGACAAAAGGATCTAAACTCCTCACTGAGACCAATAAAGTTTGATTCTTTTATCTAGTATCTACCTCCTGAAGCCTGTCTCATATTTACTTCTTCATTACGTGGTTTTCTTTGGGACACCGATTGACAGCTGAAAAATGGAGGATCGAGGAGAGGACTCAAGGAGAAGGAAGCGAGGAAAGAGAAAAGAGACACAGCCGTTGGCAAATTTCAGATGATCCAACCGCAGAAGCTCATTCGTAGCATATGTCTCAAATGTAGAAGGCGTCTCCTCTCCAAAATTCTTATAACATTCAGAACAAAATCTGTAACTTCTTTTCCGTGAGATAAGTAAGAGTTTGGTGCTTCGATTGTTGATTCTGTAAAAATCAACGCTGTTTCTCAGTCCTTTATGTCGATTTTTGTCTTTATTTACGTGTAGGCAGCCAAAGACACGAAAGGAGCTCTGATTGGTTAGTCCACCTGTCAATTATGCCCTTTAAAATCAGGGACACATGACCCAGCTCCAGATCCACTCGTCCTTTGTAAACTTTTGAACTTTTAAAAGCGTGTAGTTTTGGCAGGACAGGCAACAAGGTATAGCAAGTCATACGATCTGAACCAGTGCTTCAGAACTCTTGGTGGAAAACGTTTGCCTCAGAAGATCGAAACCTGTGTCGAGCATCTCTCTTCATAATTCTCCGATCTCTGCCTACAATTTATTAATTTGAAAATTACACCAAGACAGAGAATGAAGTGTCCGGGATAGTGTCAGGCAGTTGGCTTCACGGGATTCTTAGAAGTTATGTCCCTGATTGAACAAAAAGTCTGCTTCTGTATTGCTTTGTACCTGAGAAAATGACTAAATAAAAGGATGTGTTTCATGAACTAATTGTTTTACGTGTTTAGCTTGGTGTGAAATTATAAGTAACACCTGGTCTTATAACATAACACCTAAATCAGCATATTGAAAGTTTGAAAGGTTGGTGCCAAAGAGAAATGAATCAATTAACAAGCTTGAGGCACTTCGCACTTATTCCTGTTATTATTGCTAGATAGAGAAAAAAAAAGTGTTTTGTCTTCAAATGTGAAAATTGGAATTTGAAGTAATGTCACATGAAAGTGACACATTTGCCGTTGCTTGTTTTCTTTGGCTTAGGGGACAATCTTTTACAAGGAATTTGAGTTAAAGTGAACTCTGTATAAACCTGTGTATATCATTTTTGCTCATATCCTTCATTTTGACTTCTTCTCTGACACCCTGTCTGTGTGTTTCTCTGCAGGAGTGATCCGGACTGCGGTCTCCACTCTGGACAGAGAGACCAGAGCCCACTACAGCGTGTTGGTGCAGGCGAAAGACATGGCCGGCTCTGTGGGGGGGCTCTCGGGGTCCACCACCGTCAACATCACCCTGTCCGACGTCAACGACAACCCGCCCAAGTTCCCCCAGAGTGAGTGTGCTCGCCACAGCTCTGTGTGCTGCTCAAGACTATAGGGGTTGAACTGCTTTATGAATACAGCTGAATACATCTTGGAGGTAAAAGCACCGTTGACATACAGAAAGCACGGCCCTGGATGGACAGTCAGGCCCATCTGGAGCACCAGGAGTTATTGTGTAGGGCTGATGCACTTTTGGGAGAACGTAGAATGTACTGTACATCATATACTGAGGATTTGCGTGTGACGTGGCAGTCACATGATTTAATGTTTTGGTGGCCATACTGGAGGTCAAGATTGGGGTTGATCCGGATGGTGTTATTCAGTTTACAATATGATCATGGTGACTTTAAACAGCGCAAACGACATAAAACTGTCCGAAATTGGCAGCTTGTTAGATCAGCCATCATTAGAAAAGTATAAAGCTAAAGTCACTCTCCTAGGTTGTGGAATAGATCCTGATCTAATTCCAACAGACTGCTTTGTTAGTTTAATCAACACTTGCCCTGTGCCCATCCTCCAGTATCTGTTTTTTCATGTTAGATCTTCTTTCATAGGAAATAAGCGAACCTTTTTCTTTGTTTTTCACGGGCGATGGGGTGAACATGAATAATGATGGGACATAATCTGGTAAAAGTGGGTTATCATTCTTTAGACCTACAAGAAAAAAATACTTTTGGTATATATCATTTAATTTACTTTAAATCCGTTCTTTGTTTGTGTGGAGCTGGTCCCTCACCAGAAATGAAATGTTGACTGCACAGACGACTGTACTCAGTGGGCTCCATCCCTCTCTTTTTATATCCACCTCTGTCTGCGATCTTTATCAGCCGGGATCCGATAGAAAGATATTTTAGCCTCCTTCTTTAGCAGATTGAGTCCGGCCAGAACATCCAGTAGCAACACAGGTCGAAACCATTGCTATTCAATTCAAATGTTATCGCACACAAATACTACACGTTCGTCCAGATGGATAGTTTGACCTCCAACATGGCGGCATAAACACCAGGTCATGTGGTTTTGTGAAGTAGACGCAAAACCTTAATTGCCCAAACACATTCAAAACCAAGCCCCACCCACAGCACACGAACCCTGTCCGAAGGAACACTTGGTAAACTTCTGATTGTATTTGCCCTGTAGTATCATGGAGCCCAGTCATAAAGCACCTACCACAGCCTCATGGGATCACACAGCAACATGCCTGCCCCACATACCAGCATTGGATTCTTTGAGGGGTGCGTCCCTAAAAGATAAACCGGAAGTATTTATCACCCAGATGATATATCCCACAGTACAGTAGGTGGCAGTATGGACCCGGCATGTTGGTTGCAAAGAAAACAAAGAAGAAAGTAACATCATAACGGAATGTGATATTTTGTTGTTGATGGAGTAGAAGTCATTGAAAAGCGACGTCTCAGTTGCGGAAAGAGCAAAACTGATTAAATATTTAATCACTGCATTTATATAGCGCCTTTTATGACATCCAGAACATTTTGCACTGTACTATTCATTCACTCCACACTCAGAGGTGGTAAGACTACAGTAGCCACAGCTGCCTTGGGACAGACTGACAGAAGTGAGGCTGCCAATCTGCTCCATCCGTATATTCGACCACCACCATCACCAGTGTTGGGAAGGTTACTTTTAAAATGTATTCCCCTACAGATTACAGATTACACACCCCAAAATGTAGTTTGTAACGTAATCCATTAAATTACTTAAAGTGAGTAATGTAATCTGAATACTTTGGATTACTTGATATTGTTTGTTTGTTTAGTTTTTACTTGACCGTATTAAAAATATTATTGATAGAGAAATGCTTTATATATGAGATCACAATTATGTCCACCTACTGTTAGGTGTCATATTGTATTAGTTTAGTTCTACACCTGGTTTTAGTCCTAGTTTAGTCCAGGTTTTGTCCTGGTTTTAGACCTGGTTTAGACCTGGTTTAGTCCTGGTTTAGTTCTAGTTTTAGTTCTGGTTTTAGTCCTGGTTTAGACCTGGTTTAGTCCTGGTTTAGTTCTAGTTTTAGTTCTGGTTTTAGTCCTGGTTTAGACCTGGTTTAGTCCTGGTTTAGTTCTGGTTTCAGTCCTGGTTTAGTCCTGGTTTAGTCCTGGTTTAGTCCTGGTTTAGTCCTGGTTTAGTTCTGGTTTAGTCTTGTTTTTTGTTTGTAGTTTAGTCCTGGTTTAGTCCTGGTTTAGTTCTGGTTTTAGTTCCGGTTTCAGTCCTGGTTTAGTCCTGGTTTTAGTTCTGGTTTCAGTCCTGGTTTAGTCCTGGTTTAGTCCTGGTTTAGTCCTGGTTTTAGTTCTGGTTTAGTCTTGTTTTTTGTCCTGGTTTAGTCCTGGTTTTAGTTCTTCTTCTTCTTCTTCTTCTTCTTCTTCTTCTTCTTCTTCTTCTTCTTCTTCTTCTTCTTCTTGTAGTGTTTTATTGGTGGTTGGCAAACAAATACTGGTGCATTACCGCAACCAACTGATATGGAGTGTGAACTGAAATGCGAATTGGTGATAATCAAAACCAAATTAAATAAATAAATAACAACAGTGATCAATTGATAACTAAAGCAAAATAATAAATCAAATCCTGTTAATCAAATTAATATCCCTGAGAAACGTGAATAAAATTTTAAAACTATTATTCCCTGGGTGCTGCTGTAATAGTTCTATCAGGGCAAATTTCATTTTTTGGTCTTCAATCCTTCTCTTCATTTTACTTCTTTCTCTTGTGCACTTCCTACAGTCCATGAATACATGTTCTATTGTTTCGAGTTGTCACAGTGTCCGGTGTTATGTTTTCCTATCTTATGTAATGAATAGTTTAGTCGCCTGATTTTCCCAGCGGACTCCCACTCAAGTACTAACCAGACCCGGCCCTAACTTCTGAGATCTGATGAGTTCAGGCTTTGACAAGGAGGTGTGGCCGTTACAAGCTGGTATGAAGCCACATGTGCCCAACAGCCTGAACTCTGGACATTTGTTGATTATTTTGCTCTGATTTGTGTCTAAAAGAGCATCTCGCACAGGTGTTAGAAAAAGAAAAAAGACAATTCAAGAGGCAGAGGCTTGTTGAGTTATTGTCAGATGTGCTGCAGCATTTAAATCTTGACCCAAACATCTGCATTGGAAACTGACAGATGGAGCCTCCAGTATGCACTTGAGTATAAAAAAAAGAAAAAATAAACAGTTATGCACCATATGGTGCTACGTGCATATCCTCAATCTGGTTTAGTCCTTCAGATAGATTTGAAATATGATCGTGGGCTGAGTTTAGGTGTTCAGTCCCACTTTAAGCTGCGGAACTGGCCTATGCCAATTTAAACCAATTTTTCACTGGTTTGGAGAGATATCAGCACTTTGAGAAAGAACAAAAGTATTTCATTATGCTGAAGTCACTGTTAAAGTTTGGGAGAGAAAGAACGTATTGACTAAGATAGGCTTCATAACAACAGAAAAGACACATTTTGTGGCCTTCATTGAGATAAATTGTGCATCCACTTCACAGAGGAAGTCTGAAAGCAAGGATACGACTTTTGAAGCTGCAAAAATGTTTATGGATGTGGATGATGTTAGTGGAGAACAGTTGTTAGAGAAACTGACACACAGGTCTGTATGGTAAACACTGTGCTTGTGAAATGGAAAAGAATGGACTATCTGTAAAAAAAAAAAAAAAAGAAAAAAAAGAAAAAAAAAGAAGAAAATACATAACCGGGAACTTGAGGTGATGTGGACTGAATCTCCCAGGTCCCAATTACATGTCTGGAGAAGCTGGTTTCACCATTTTACATTAGGAGGAGACTAGAAGAGGCATTCAAATGCACAATAAGAAACAGCCAGAACAGTTTTAGACATGTGCTGGGACATTTAGCATTTTAGATCAGTAGTGATGACAAACCATAAACACATTATGGACACAGACATTGTGACATTCCATAGGCATTTTGTTAAACATGGAAAGCCATCCAAACACTTTCACAGCATCAAAGATGAAGGTCTCCCATGGTCTGTGTGAAGATCTGAGCACATGCCTTCAGAAATGTAATGACAAAAAAGCAAGTGGTTGAATCTGTAGTACTAAATGTAGGAGATTAAGCTAGTTTCAAAGAAGAGTAAGTTAGGTGTGACGTAGGCCAAAACCCTTCCAATGTGCTGCGATGCATTCTAGGCCACTTCAGGGCCAGAACTACTGCCCCTTCAAAAGAGGCAGTTAAAGTTAACTTTGTGGTTTGTGGCAAAGTCCTTGACACAAGTGGATGATCATCCTGGAAGGAGGCTGCTGGAAGATACATAGGAGTCAGGAGGGAGAGATAGTAAAATAAGGATTTTTTTTTTTTTTTTTGGAGGTTGAGGATGAGGTGCTGGAGCTCAGACATAGAGCATCTGTGGTTGTCTGGCCTTCAGTTCCAACATGATTGCTCCCTCAAGAAGTGGACTAGTCCACTAAGGAACGCCTCAAAAAGAAGAGCAGAATGTGTTCTGTAGCTGTGGTGAGGGAGGCTGTGTGGAGCAATTGAGGCAATTATCTGCAGATCCTCACTGATGGGACTATAGACCCTAAGAGAAAGAGAGGGGGAAGAGAGGCATTTCTGTAATATCCATAAGTCTGTTATTGAGGGAAAGGTGTCACCCAAGAAATGACAGAAGAGAGGAAGATCTGAGAATTAGACTAGCAACTGGGTCACTGTGGACTTGCATCTGACCTTTTGTTGATTGGCAAACACCAAAATGGCCAGTGTGAAACCTGTGGCGATGAAGAGACTGTCCCTCGTGTTTTGATGGGGCACTGAAAGCCACAGCAATATCTAAGTGTTGAACTGACACAATTTTCTTTTGTGTATTTGTCACAAATATGTTCTTTTGAACAACATGTTTGGATTGTGTTGAATCTACACTAAACACATAAGAAACTAAAGAGCATTTCCATTTACACAATGAAATAGTGGACACTTGCTGCACTTGACTCATTTGGGTCGAATCTATCAAATGTTGTCATGGCAAGTTAACAGATTTATGCTAAATGAACAGTTTGTTGGTCAGACGTCCAATATGAACAAAATATGTCCAAACTCCACAGTGTGTCTGTGCAGAGTCCACATGAGTGAAACATACTAAAGCTGCACATGTGGAGGTGAGAGTTTGAGTGGAAGTGGGTCTAAAGTGAAATCCAGTGTGAAATGAACAGCCCCCTGACACTGAGGAACTGTGTTTGTGTTCAGATGAGCTCCTCCACATGAGGCAGTGAGCAGTGACATAGAGGGGTTTTACACTGTACAAAGTGATGTTTGGTCTTAACACTGCAGACAGCTGCAGGGCTGGAGGTCTCACAGCTGAGATACTCATTCATCAGAACAACAATTAAAACCCTCATGTCAGTATTATTATTTGTATCTTGTTATAGTTAGGCTGAAATTATTTTATGTACTGAGGTGTGGTCATGCGTGTTCTCTTTCCTCTGACTCATGGGGCACCATGACCCATGTAGGCAGCACTTTTAACACTTTTACTGTAAATACAGTTACACACTTGAAATGTGACAAGTCAGCACCTTTGAACAGTAAAACACTGATTTATGCTGAACCAACACAAGAGTCAGCACAAGAGCAGAGCAGGCAACACAAGTGACAACTTTGTGCTTGAAAAACATATGAGGCATTCTAATAACATATATTTTATGTTACATTAAACACAATTATAATGTATCATATTATTGGGTATTACATAGCAGTTTAATTTATTTAGATTCTGCATAATTTCAAAGGGTAAGAACTCCCATTCTAAGTTTGAACACATTTAAACAAAGCTTTGGTCATTTGTGTCTGTGATTAGTTTCTTGTTAAAATTATTTCTCACATTGGCTCCTAACACACACACACAAAAAAAAAAAACAACTCAAGAAGACACAGTTTTTTTTAACAGTTCTTTAAAATGGTCTTTGTATGTATCAAATGACTCCTGCTGTGTCATTTGATACATACCCTGCAACCTCTATATGAGAGAGTTTATTGCAACACAGTGGCTCCTGCAGACAAACCTGACCTCATGTGGGGCTCTGGTCGCCAGGGTCATGGTCCTACACAAACACATCATGTCCTTTTCACATTTTCACTATACAATAAAGATGTTTATTGATGGTGGATAGATGTGATGACTGGGGGGAGACTCAGGATGGGGGTGTAATCTTCAATCCAAAATGGTCACCCAGCTGAATCGGAACCCCCTTTCCTGAAGATTTCGTCTTCGGACTGAAGAATGGGCAAGAGACACGGGTGGGGTCGAGAGAGCTGACACAGACGGTGTTATTGGAATAGGCTATATAAATAGGGTTTCTGGGTAATTGAAGGCGTGGTGGAGATAAGCTGTGTGATTAACTCTATTTAACAATATTATGGACTGTATGGCTTAACACTATTTTAGCCAAATGTGTTGTGTGCAACAAGTGTCCACTATTCTCTATTGTGTTGATTCAACAGTGAGTAACAGGTTCACTGTCTAGAGGATAGATATTTTTTTTTACCACCTTTTTGGTTTGGGATTTAAGTTTGTATCAAAGACATTCCTTTTTCCCCTCTTTGCATCAACAGGAGATTTACAGTGCACTGATGGATTTGTTTTTTAATAGTGGTTTGCAGAACAGACTGAGCAAAGTACAGTAGCCTGTGATTCCAATGAAAAGCAGCAATGCACCATCTGGTGCTCAGTCTGCTCAAAATACACATGAAAGGTTGTCAGCTCTCTTTACAGAAACAAAAAAGACAGCTTCACTGCACATTTAACTCATTGAACTAATCAATGACCACTCAGATCATACTCCTCCCCATCACAGAGTCCAGAGGACACAGTGAACAATCATCAGATACAGAGAACACAAGAAATAAACCAGGTCTCTGTCTGCTTCATGCTCAGGAAGGAGTATCAGAAACTCTTCATTGTGGTCAGCGAGACCATACACTTTAGAAACACATTTCTCAAGTCAAAAACTATAGAAATGATCCCTGAAAGTATAATCTTAATGTGAGAGTGTCTACAGCAGAAACTAGAGCCACACACTGAGACTCTGGCTCAGGGGAGGCTGAGGAGGAAAGCAAAAGGCAAAGTAAAATAACTTGTCTGTCAGAATATCTATCTACACAATCATTTGGACCAAACTAATGAGCCTGGTGAACTGTTTGCTAAATAATTAGATTTTTGCAGTTTTAACAGTGCTTCATAAACATCACTGATGAAAGTACCACTGATGTAAACTAAACATCCTCATCCTGTCCACAGCAGATGTCCTCTCACATGCTCCTCAGAGTCCTCGTCTGTGGCTCTAGTGTCGGCTGCAAAGCTGCCCCACATCAAAGAATGAAGCCAGCGCAGGAGTGTGAGAGTGAAAATGAATCTGAAAAATGGAGGAAAAAAAGAAAAATTTGCACAAAAAGAAGAGGAAACAGCAAGAATGTGACTCTATGATTCAGGTGTTTGAGTGGATGAAGAGTCGTTGACAGTTGTAGCGTTGGCGCTCTATTTAAAGACCTGTGTAATGCTGAAAAACAGAAAAATGTTCCACTGTACGCACAGTCAGGATTTTGAGAAGCAGACCTGATTATTATTAAATGTTCTTCAGAGACAGATAGGGCTTTGAAAATGGAGACTTTTAAAGGATAGAGTGTAAGAAGTTTCCTACTTGATTCAAATAGAAGAGTGAAAAGTGTCATCACTGGGGTGCCACTTTCTTTTGACGTGAACATGAACTTTTGAAAATTGTTGGTGTATGTGCAGCAAAGAGACTAGTACAGGTTTGAGATGGGGAAAGACAGGAGAGTAGCTCTCTTATCATTCAATGAAGAGTTACCTGATCGTGCCTATTTACACTACGTCTGCTGTCACATCCAACCATTTGAAAAAGGTCCTGTGGTGTTTTACTCGTCTGTGATATGGTCATGTAGCTTCTGTTTGCAGAGGAGATGTTGAAAGAGTGGCACTGAAGGCTGTATTGGACTGTGTGTAAAACTTGGAGTGGAGCCAAAATGTTTGCATTGGGAGAGAGTACACGCTAGAAGACTTATGGAGGTGAAAATGAATAAACTGAGGAATCCCAAAAGGATTTCATATGCGGTGAACCAAACCAAAAATCAAGCAGAAGAGGACATAAGTCAAGGCATAGGGGGACCAAAAAAAAAAAAAACACTTTATGCCTCCTGACACAGACTGCAGCTTGTATGAAGGCCTTGTCAAACTCACCAAGCTTATCTTTGGACATGCTCGCTCTTAGTTCTTACAGACTCTCTTCTAATAGATTAGCAAGCCTTGTTTATGGCCTCAGTAAAGGACATCCTAAGTGGACACAATTTTTTTATGTATTTTATGTCTGTTCAAGAATATTTTTTACTAGATATGTTTCTGATTTCCAGCCCTGTCCACAGCAGGTGTCCTCTCAGCCTCCCCTGAGCCAGAGTCTCAGTGTGTGGCTCTAGTTTCTGCTGTAGACACTTTCATATTAAGACTATACTTTCAGGGATCATTTCTATAGTTTATGACTTGAGAAATGTGTTTCTAAAGTGTATGGTCTCGCTGACCACGATGAAGAGCTGCTGATACTCCTTCCAGAGCATGAAGCAGACAGAGATTTGGTTTATTCCTCATGATCTCTGTACCTGATGATTGTTCACTGTTTCCTCAGGAGGCAGTGAGGAGGAGTATGATCTGAGTGGTTCTAGTGATTGTTAAAGATGTTATGGTCTTAAGTATGAAATGATGAAGCTTTGAAAAGAGAGAGCCAAAGAGCCATTCAAAAGTCTGACTCTTTGGCTCTCCTGACTGTATATAGTAGTATATGACAGGAGCGAATGCAAGAACTTTCATTTGTTCACTCACAGCACAAACATCACAGCTGAAGATGGGTTTTATGTCCAAATAATGCAAGTGTTAGAAGATGTTGAAGGTGGTGCACATTGGCAACAAAAAAATCCCTAATCTTTTGTATATTCTTTTCTGTATTTCTATAGATTAGTTTAAGATTTCCTAAAATGATGCTGTGACAACACCCATCTGCACATGAACTGATTATTCTCTTGGTTTCTTTTTTTTTTAGGATGCTTTTGGTATGAGTTATTATGTTGGTATATTACACCGAACATGTTTTGTAAGTTAAATTCACTCCCTCTTCACTGAGCTATCACATGACAATAAGTGTGTGTTCCGCTAATGAAACTACTGCACATCACATCAGGTTTGTAAAGCTGTAGTGTGCAGTTTTGTATCATGTTTTTGCATATTTATAGAGAATTGTCGTGTGAGAGCATGGGGATATACGTTTGTGGACAGTGGACAGAATCTTACAACTAACTGAAAGGAGGGTTTGAATAGCGTCCAGAGAGACTGCTAGATTACTCAAACACACACAGATGAACCTCTTCAGACATGTTTTTGATGAGGGGATAATGTTATAACCTTGTGGAAAGCTCTGAAAGTCGATTTTGCATATTAACCCCTCTTTGAAAACTTCAGCATTTCTGTATCTTCAACATTGGTGTTACGACCCCAGGCCTCCACTTCTCTGACTTGTTTTGCGTGTTTTAATTTCTTTTGCTGACTGTCCTGACCCTGCGTTTGATCATCGTCCGGCTCCCACTTGGACCTCGGATTTGATGTTGCGTCCGAGCTTGAAGTGTATTACTATGTTTGGCGTGTCGGACTAAGTGGATTATGACTATGACTATTCCCTCATCTTATAAAAACGCTGCCACTTTAATTTAATTTTTGGAATATGCACTTAATTTTATGTTATGGTTTCTCCTTCGTTACAACCTTAGGGACGTCAACGCTCTTTAAATCAAGTTTTTGTTCAATATTGGCCTCACCACAACTCCGACTACAAGACTCGCATGCAGTGATACCGACGCGGTAAAGCAGGGGTGCTCACACTCTTTCATCATGCGAGCTACTTACAAAATGACCAAGTCAAAATGATCTACCTACTACAAAGCCAAGCAAACTGCACTGAAACACTCTGTGCCCCTTTTTTGGACCCTCACCCACAGTTTGAGAACCCCTTTTTTAAGAGAACTTCCTCTGGCACACTACTTCCTTCACCTTTTTCAAAACAGTGAAAAAGGTGAAGGAAGTAGGTAAGATTTTTAAACCTGTTTTTTAAAGTTCCAAACTGGAGTTGCATTCTTTTCTGGTTTTGCAGTGATATTTACCAGCCTCTGCACATTTATCAAACCAAACGCACATCGTGACAAACACAGATGCATTTGTGCACTTTTGTTAGGCAAACTTCAGCCAGATGTGGCAGTAGGTCTGTTCTGTAGATCTGCTCTCTGCTGTAGACCTGCTGTAACACAAATTTAGACTCATTTTTGCTTCACGTTTCGTGTTGCTCTTCTAATCAGCGTGCACTCTGGAAGGGGTTTGTTTTCGCTGTACGCAGGAAGGAGCGAGAGTGTGAAAAGGCGAGGGGCAGCGTGCTGACGTGAGGCAGATGGACAGGTAGGATGTTTAGGAAGTTTACACGCTGTTGCAGACAAGCCTTGCATAGGGAGCGTGTGTATTTGTGATGTGCCGCAGAGTCGCCGTGGGTTTCAAATGAGCGCACAGGCTGCACTGAGACGCCCCACACGCTCCTGCACCCCGCTACAAGTTTATTGCCAACAGCAGCGGCCATAATGAAATATGATCGCACTTGTTGAGTGTCAGACCTTGAGTGAGAGACAAGACTGAGTCCAAACGTGATCAAGTCAGAGACGAGTACTAAGACACGGCGATCTACCCACACGACCTTGGCGATCGACTGGTAGATCAGGATCGACGTATTGCGCACCCCTGTGGTAAAGTATTACAGTGATACGAGTGACTGAAATTGTCATTTAAATCACCAAAGTATTTAAACACAATGAAAACACTTCATATTTACAGATCACAGTCGGTGTAGCCATCTCAGAATCACTGCTCAGTCCACTTTTGCAGTCACCAAGATCCGAGTTGTGCTGTCCCAGGAAAAGGGCCGTGTCACGCGTGTCGCTATAGACAACTTCCTCAGAAAACTGATTCAGAAGGATAATCTAATGCAGGGTAATTGCTGTGACAGGCCTGGTCCCTGATTGGTGGGGCACTTTTACACCTGACCAATCCTGCCTCACCTGCAGCCACCAACTCCTATTTAAGGAGATTCCCAGCACCTGTTTGGAGCTTTGTGGCAAATCTGACATTTTGTGTGTGTTTCTTTTGTGTCAGTCACTTTACGGTTACATTCAAACTGCAGGGCTTAACGCTCAATTCGGATTTTTTTGTGAAATCCGATGTTTTTGCGAGGTCGTTCACATTTCCAGTTAAATGCAACTTGTATGTAATGGTTTTAGGAGCACATATCCAAATGGCCTGGGTCGCACTTGAAAAAATCGGATCTGTGTCGTTCAGACTGTCATTAAAAAATATCAGATACAGGTCACATAGGGGCCAAAAAATCGGATTTGGGTCACTTCAGGCTGCAGTCTGAACGTAGCCTATTTGTCTTGAGACTCTCGGTTAGTTTAGTTGAGTTTTGTTTGGAGCCTTTTGGTTTTGTAACTTGAATCTGTTTGTGGGTTTAGATGATTTTACTTTGAGACACTTGTGTTTTAGTTTTGTTGTGTGTCTCTTGGTTTAGTCTCTCGTTTTTGGCACAGCTCGTTATATGTTATTTTGCTGTTATTTAGTTTCTTATTTTAGGTTATTTTATGTATATATTTTAACATATTTGTTAATTTACCCATTGACATTTGACTGTTAATTAAACCTTACTTAATTTATACCATTTTCCACCTTGGTTTTTTTGACCCTGACCCCAGCGAGCTTGGTCATAACCAATTGGGGACTCATCTGGGATAGTTATAACCCTTTTCCAGAGTACTAAAGTGTAATAATTCTTTTAGGTAAGGCTTTGATTTGGATTAGAGGTGGACAGGTCGGTGGAACGCAATTTCTGCTTAACAACTGGTTTAATTGCTACCGTCCTGTGTATCTGCGTGTAAAGTACAGATTGCATTTTCAAGCTGAATTATTGTAAGAATCCACAATTGTGACAGCATCCGTGGATACAACTGATGTATGAAGCCCCGGAGCCGACTCTCCCACTGCAAGGTTAAAGAAGGCCCCATTAATGTATGTAAAATGTAGTCTCTAACACGCTAACACGCTATAGGCCGGATACGCTGGTGCAGTGTAGAGGCGTATGCTAATGGGAGTAGTAAACATGTCAGTGCAGTTAGATCACAAAGCACCCGCGCTCCGTATAATGCCCTCTCCTGATCATTTATGCATCAGTTCTGTCTGATCCAAGGGCGTGCTAACCTCCCAAAGCTCTCTCTCTCTCTCTCTCTCTGCTTGTGTTAGAGCTCACAGAGAGGACTTTTATTTACTTAGGCTGTTTAGTTATTTTTCCAAGAATTGTGCTGCCAGCCCCCCAGGACGCTGTCTGAAATGTTGTAGATATGAATGTGTCATTGTGTAAGCCTGAGCAGCCAGTCGCTTTCTACATTCTGTTTGAACGTTTGGTTTGAAGGGTCTGGTGCCGGACCACAGAGCGTGAAAAATCTCCATCTGAACTTGGCTAATTTGTTTCATGTGTCTCTCAAATGCAGAAGACTCTCTCCAAAATTCTCGTAACAGTCAGAGCAAAACATTTTTCTTCTTTTACCAGGGATAAATAAAAGTTTTGATTATTAATTCTGCAGAAGTTTATGCTGTTTCTCAGTCTTCTATAGTGTTTTTCTTTTCTTTCTTTCTTTATTTATTCTTTTATTTTTTGTTGTTTGTTTTTTTTTGCCCTTTTTACATGTAATTATTTTACCTTAGATTAATTAGGCCAGGGGTTTTCAAATTGGATGAATGTGAGTCTCCCCTTCAATCCGCCTGTCCTACCCCACACGGGCCTTTGAAGTAAATGCATCTTCACTAGCTAGGACCACACCAACAACGACAAAGTGCGAAGAAGTTTATTAATAATGTACGAAGCGGGGCAGAGATGGCTGGGTTGAGACTCTAGGTGGGGGCTCTGTCCCAATCTTCAATTGGCCTTATGACTGAAAGACAAAATAGGGGATGAGAGGGTGGGGTCAAATTAGTTGAGACAAACTGGGATGATGGGAAAGGCTGCTACATATCGGCTTCTGGGAAATTAGAGGCGTGGTCGAGGTGAGTTGTGGTTCGCTGGTGAGAGGAGAGGGCGGCTGAGGTGTGGGCCTGCTTCTGAATCTCAGTTAATCATATTTATTACATTTTTGTGTTCCTGGCAATGATGAGTTTCAGTAACAACTGATAATATATAAATATATATTTCCAACTTCATGCAGCCCTAACTGAGGTGACTATTAACATCACTGTACATCAGTAGGACACCAGGACTAAATCAGGACTAAACCAGGTTTAAACCAGTACTAATCTTGGACTTGCGAGTGAGAGAGAGAGAGAACCCAGAGTCCACAGAGCAGGGTGTCCACAAAGAGGGATCGGTGACGGGTGTGCTTATCTCTGTGGGGCATTGAGGTCTGTGCTGACCCTACGCAGGTGCACCTCTGGGCCCATCCTGACACTCAATCTTGGTTTCTGATTCTGGTTCAGTCCTGGGATCAGTCCTGGGATCAGTCCGCATGTGTCGCTCCTCCCCAGTGGCTCTTTGGTGCCCCCCAGGGAAGGCGCACCTCACCTGAAAACCACTGAGTTAGGCAATTCCATGGCTCAAATGATCCAAATTAGTGAAGGTGTAAGAAGTTTAAATGAATGTAGCACTTCCTGTATGTAGTATCATCATCAGTAATATATCAGTAATACATGACATCACAAGGTGGAACAGAGTGTTTTCTGTTTGAGAGAAGAACTCAGCCTAAAGATGCAGTGTTTGTGTGTTAAACATGTGTGAATGAAACAAAACACAACTCCAGGTCTGTTTGTGATGAGGAAACAACATTAGAACACAGAAAATAGCTTCAGGGAGATGTTATTGCTTCATCAAGAATGTTCCATGACAGAGATTAAACTACTACATCAAGGGAAACAACTATAGGCCACATTACGGGTCAGATCTGTGGAGATGCAAACCTATCCACAGAGAGAATTATTGTGTTTTTAGCAGTAAAAACACCTGTAATGAACAAATGCTTTATGGGTGTGTTTAATGTCATACCATGGACCATTCCAGGCAAACCAATAACATCTCCATGGAGACAAGCAGGTGACCTTTAGTCCTTTACCCCCTTTAATTTAAACTAACTTGTGCCTGTTCCTTCTTCCAGAGAGTTACCAGCTGTACGTGACGGAGCTGACCCCGGTGGGGAAGGCCGTGGGGCGGATCCAGGCGACTGACGAAGACCAGGGCTCCAACGCCGAGATGAGCTACAGCATCACCAACTCTGAGGCCGCCGCCATCTTTGAAATCAGCCCTGACCCCACGCACAGGGAGGGCATCATATCGCTCAGACAGGTACCAGAGAGCAGAGAACTGTGAATACGTGACGGGGGTTATGGATGTTGCAGATTCTTAGGCACAGAAACGATTTAGGTTGTCTTTTCCACAAGGGATATTTATTATGAAGCCACAAAAAAGCTAAAACTGGATATAACAGCTCCCCGCTTTCATCCCGTGTCTTGCTGCAGTAAAAACACACTCCAGATTGCTTCAAGGCACACGTACAAAACCAGTGCGGGGTGTTTAAATGCACCTTTCTAAAAACAACAATGTTCAGAATTTAAAACAATGACACCATAAAAACAACAGGGGGTGCCAGTGAGCCTCAAAACCTTTTACATGTTTATATTAATTCACAACAATCGTGTATAACTGTAAATTAATTCATCACGTCTCTCATTTACATGCACACCAGAAATCTGATCATGATGGAAGAGGCGGTGCTACCATTAGGCAAAAGTAGGCAGCTGCTTAGGGCCCCCAAACCTGGAGGGGCCCCCAAACCAGTTTTCTCTCAATATGATATTAAATGAGAGCAGTTTACTTTAAAACAATCATCATAAGAAAAATCAAAATCATCAAAAATCAGCCACATCATCAACGGACTATAGTGGTTATGATTTATATGTTGTAAAATTTAGTAATGTAAAGTTTATTTATGCAGATGATTTTACTGAATAATCTGCTGCAGTGTAGAACTTGTACAATAGTATTTGGAGTTGTTCGGTTTGAAATGTGCAGTGGATTGTGGGATACCTCAGAGCTCCTTACCACTGGTTAGGAACATGGACCTGTTAAGGATGTGACGTGGCAGTCGCGTGATTTAACGTTTTGGTGGCCATACGGGAGACCAAGACCGGGATTATTCAGTTTATTTCAATATAATCATGGTGACTTTAAACAGCGCAAACGACATGAAACTGTCTGAAATCGCCAGCTCGTTAGATCAGCCGTCATTAGAAAGGTATAAAGCTGAAGTCATCCTCCTGGGTTGTGGAATAGATCCCGATCTAAGTCCGATGGAGCTTTATCAGTCTAATCAACATTTGCTCTGTGCCCAACCTTTAGTATCCAAATATTTACAACTACTTCATTCATTCGACATCGTTCTACACCAACCAAGAACTGAAAAGCTACATGGGTTTATGAGCATAAATATTTTGTAGCGGGATGTGTGAGATCTTTGTTGATCACCAAACATCACATCTGTTCCTGATAACAGCCAGGGGAAGTAGATTGGAGGTCAAAATCAGAGCAGGAGTGACCCCAGAACGGTGGAAATAGAGGGCCGGGGTGGGTGGGGATTCCGTGCCAGTGCACAGACGAGAAAAATACTTTTGGTGTATATCATTTCATTTATTATAAATCCCTTCCCGTTTGTGTGGAGATGATCTCTCACCAGAAATGAAATGTTGACTGCACAGGTGACTGTACTCAGTGGGCTCCCAATTTTATGTCCACTATCCACCTCTGTCTGCTACTTTGGCCTCCTTCTTTAGCAGATTGAGTTCAGCCGGAACATCTAATAGCAACACTGGTCAAAACCATTGTTATTCATTTAAAATGTTATCTCACACAAATACTACCCCTTTACACATTTACTTACACATCAACACCAGGTCATGTGGTTTTGTGACATAGACACTAAACCTTAATTAAAATAAGGATGATCCCGAGCTTTTTTTGCTGAAGGAGCTCATGGTTATTGTATAGTTAACAGAGTAAATGCAAAGACGAGCTTGAGTTCACTTGTTTTATTTTTGAATGAAAAGAAGGCAATATGCATTATTTCTTCCTTTATTTTGCAGTTAAATTATTATTTTTGTATGCAGGGATTTTTTTTCAAGTCACAGAAGCACTTCGTTTCTACATGAACTGCCTAACTCATTGCACTTTTTTTTTTTTTTTTTTTCAAATTTATCATATTTGTGTTTTGCAGCAGTTTGTGGGGTGTTATTTTTCCTGTACAGATATCGAGATATAGTAAAATTCATCGAGATATTTTATTTTGCTGCTTATCGCCCAGCCCTAACTCCAGGTATGTTTTGATGATGACACTGTGATTAAAAGCTAAAAAAAAAAAAAAGTGGCTTAATACAGGGCCTTTAAACCTAATATTGAACTTCCTGATTGCCTACAAGTCAAACAGGGTGTTATAAAGATGTATTGTGCAGACAGACCTCTCACTCTGCCGTGTAGATGTCCCGGTGACACATTACAGTAATAAGCCGGCCCGGGCACTTTGACATGTACACAGATATATGAGCGCTCGGTGCTGCCTTCACGGCCCCTCGGACACATCAGCACTCCCCTTTAATTACCGCTTATTGCAAACTACCAGGACGTAAAGTGCTTTTGGAGGCTTTTAGGAGACCTCGCTGTGGACATTAAGGCAAATCTAAGTGTCTCTCCTCCCTCGGCTGAAGATCAAATGATCAGACAAATGTGGTAATGAGAAATCGCTCTTTATTTATGATCAAACCGTGTGAGAAACTTGGCACTTTCACTTACCTTGGAGCAAGTTTAAATGAGTTTGGGTGGACTAGGTTGTTTTTATTGATCTTATTTGCTTACTAACTTAGAAAACAGACAAACCTTTAACCCTTTTGTAATTTTGTATCCTCACTTTGTCACATAGAAATCCCCTAGGTGTTTTAAAGCAAAACTCACTGTTCAGAGCTTTTAATCGTGTTTTAGTTGTTTCTCTTTTCATGTACCCTTTGAAGATGTATTTGGAGTGATTCATGCATGTTTGAGTCATCTTTATTTGCTTATTTTAAAGATGACATTTTGCAAATCAAATCCTGTTTTCACCAGCACTGGCATACGCCCACTGCTCTGTACTTACTTTGTTCTGCTATTTTAATTTCTTGATTGGTGATTAGGGATGTAACGATATCCAAATCTCACGCTATGATATTATCACGATATGCATCTCATGGTACGATATTTATTGTGATATTTTGAAGAGGCTGAGATAATTGTAGATGGGACACTTTTTTTGCTTTTAAAACACCTTGACAAGATTTTGGTGTGAATTATTTCCATCATAATCCCAAGAATTCAAGTAAAAAACATATGTAACACTGAGGATTCACAGGTAGCTTTAATAACAAAGCAAGCCAGCGTAAAAGATAGTCGAGCCGGAAAATCAAGGAGGATAAAAATATGATGCAGAGATGTGGATTTGGTTTGGCCTGCACGCACTCACAATGGAAGTGAGCTGCTGACACACCCACACCCAAATGTGGGTCACGAGGTCTATTAAGGACAAAGAAATATTTAACGCAGTCAGTGTGTGGGTCTAACGGCAGTTTTTATTAACAAAACAAAACGTTGAGGTTGCTTTTAACAGGTGAGGATGTCACTGCAGGGCTGAGGCTCCACCCTAAAGCTGGAGTGAAGGAGACATGCTATAAGTGAAAAACAAACCAGATTAATGCAAAGAAAACAGTTACCGCAACTGAAAACACCCAATTACAAGTGCCACCACCACCAAGAACTATAAATAAGGTCACCCTCTAAGTGAGCTCCCTCCACACTCAGCTACCTCCAGCCCACACCCACTGCAGAGCTGTGATAAAATGACAATATTAACTCAACTAAAACTCAAAAAACAAAGCAACTAGCACTGAGCCTGTGTGGATAACATAAAATACATCAATTAAATTTAAACAATAAGATAAAAATTAAAAGCATACCTCTGACGTTTTTTAACAAGATTAAAATATAGAAACAGACATTTGTTTGGCTCACCAGAAATAGCTGTGTGTTAGGCCTGCTCAGGAAGAGAAGTCACCTGGTTCCCCTCTGACCTTTATAGTCTTATATCTTGCCTTATATATTTCTTCATGTTGATTGCACTGAAATGAATCATGGGATATGTAGTTTTTGATGTTTATATGCTGGTGCTACTATAAATCCATGCATTTAAGCAAATTAACTTGTAATTTGATATATTGTGACAATCCACGATATTATTGTGAGACTTTTGACGATACGATATCACAATATTTCAGATATTGTTGCATCCCTGTTGGTGATGCACATAGGATTCAGCTAACCCGACTCACTCCAGGCTGATTGTGTATTCATTTTTTTCCCATGCAGTTTACCAGGTTTATTAATGTTCATCATCCCACCTCCATCAGCTCCCCAAGAACAACAAATCATTATTATGATCATAATGGCCTCACTAGCCCCATGGAATTATTTATTTGGTGAGACAATATAACTTCTTAAAGTATTCTCATGGTGTGAGTTACTGAAGCAGTAGTGGAGAGATGAAGATGAAGAGCAGAGAGTGGGTAGGAAAAAACAGAGGAATATGTGAGAGGATAATCTTCCTGGCGATCACCATAGCCACAAGAAGTATTTTCCAAACCCTGCTTATTTAGGCTGAGTTTTTCTCTCAAACAGAAAACATCTTCTCCATCTTGAGATGTCATGTGGTTATACAGGAAGTGCTCCAATGTGTGTGTTGGATCATCTCTGCCCTGGAATTGCCAATCTCCACTGAACTAAAGGAGCTGTTAAATGTTAAATGTTTACTTGCTGTTCATATGATGCTTTTTTCTTTTTATTCTGTCATTGTTTAATAGGGTTAGGCATTATAAGTACCTTTCACTTCAGCCTAAATCGTTTCAGTCATGATTTATCGTTGCCAACACAGAATATATGGCTCTTCGCTGATTGGCTGGTGCCTAAACTCACACCTCTAGGGTTCTTCACCTTGGACCTAGTCGCTGGAGAGAATTTAAATCGAGCGGAGGCACTGGATGGCACGGGCCTGGCTAGATTTTGTAGTGATTGGCTGATAAAAGATAAAAGACAAAGATGTAATTTTAATGTTACTTATCACAACATTCTCTTTTTTATGGTGATGAAATGTTGAGGCCATATTGCCCAGTCCTCAGCTGCTGCTCTGAAGAGTGAAGCAGTTGTGAAGTCTGGTGGTCGAAGCAGTTCAATATTTTACTAAACGTTGCTTTTGGTTTATAACGTTATCTGTCCACAGGCAGACGAACACACAGCCACCACTGTTTCTGAAATCAAAGTGGGCTTCTAATGAATTTCAAGGAAACAAATCTAAGACCATAAACAAAGGTGGTGTTTCTTAGCAACTGCTGTTTCTTGGTTCATGCCTTATACCGAACATAATTCTATCGACGCCTTCAGAATAATTGCTAATTTTTAGATTTGAGCACTTTGCGTCCACATAGACAGTGCGACTAACTGTTGAGTCCATTTTCACTCACAGTAAAAAGGGGCTGGGAATGGCAGGGTCCATCACAACACTGTTTATGATGATGTGTGTCTTTACTAGGCACAAAATCACTTTTACTACAGACTTTTTCATTTGCCAAACCACTGCCTTAAACCCAAACTGCATGCGGTTCAAAGGAGGAGCTCAGCAGTGCGGGCAGACGTGTCGTGACGCTCCAGATCTTTCTTTTGGGAGTCAGTCGGCTCTATTCACGCTTACATCACAAGCCCGGAAGACATTTGGAAACATGCGATGTCACCTTCCGGTGTAGTTCCCGACACTGGGCTCGTCTACGAACTGTGATAAAAAACCCATTGAAATAAATGTGATCAGCCGTAAAATGAAGACTGAGTACGTATTCAGACAACAACAGAACAGAAGAAGTTTACCAATCTCTCCATCTCACTCCAAATCACTAAATCCATTGAGTTCTTTATGCTCAGTGTCACTTCTGAGCAACTCCACGACGGTAAACCATAGAACCATTAGGTAAACGGAGCATCGCTTTCTCTTCTGCGTAGCTGTCATCAGACTCTGCATCAGTTCCAGTTAGAATTATTTCCTTTCTGACCTTTCTTTATTTTGGTTGTCACTGAAGTCCAGGCTTTGTCGATTCATTCAATGACTTTGGTGCACCCTCCCAGTTGCCATGAAGCTGTGTTCTCCATCCCTGCTTTCCATCAGTCCCTCACAAGTTTCTCGCTCACTCCAAACTTTCTTTCTGCTGCACGATTACCATTTTCGGCTGAATATTTCACTACGTGCAGCAGGACAGCGACTTTTTCTGCAGGAGACATGTGCAGTAGAACCAAGTGACAGTGGTACAGGAGTAATAGGAGTAGCAAATATTGACACACATCCCTAGAGTGCCCTCTTTCGGCTGTCAGTCTGAAAATTTTAATATGTAAGTCGCACTGGAGTATAAGTCGCAGGACCACCCAAACCATGAAAAAAAGTGTGACTTATAGTCCGAAAAATATGGTTTGTGCTGTTTGGAATCATCTTGAATTTGGCGCCTCATCTCTTCTAATCGCATGTACCCAGCACGCTCGGAGTTGTGTTCCATTGCGGAACTTTTGAAAACTGAGGTGTGGTTGTAATTGTTGATTAGCCAAACATAACAGAACACTACAATGACATGGAGATGAAGAAACCTGGGACATTTTCAAATTTTTCCTAGATTTTGTCAGACTTACTACCGCAAACAGAGCCCACCGGAAGTCGTCATCACATGTTTCAAGTGTGAATAGAGCCTCTTGCGATATACGTAAACTGGAGCAAATCAAATGTACCTCAAATACGTGGAAAAAAGGGTGTGGGGTCCATTTTCACCTACTCCCTGTCCCTGCCCACCATCTCAATAATGACTGAGATTAGTAAAATTTCTGGTTACATATATGCACGACCGGTCAAAAGTTTTAGAACACCACACTTTTTCCAGCTTTTTACTGTTTACAGATGACTAAAACATATTCTAAACTTCATGAAAGTGTCCACCTTTGGCGGATATTTTTACAATAGACATCAAATATACTCCAGAAAGTTCTTCCCAAGTCTGTTGCAGAAGTTCCCATAAATGTGTGGCACTTGTAGGTTTCTTGGCTTTCACTTTTCTGTCCAGTTCATTCCAAACCAGCTCGATGGGGTTTAAGTCTGGAGACTGTGCTGGACACATCATGTTTTCAACCACCTTGTTCTTTTTTCCTGAGGTAGTTTTGGCAGAGCTTGGACTTGTGTTTTGTTCTTTTACCTTTTTTCAACCTCTGTCTGTTCAGTATTTATCTTTGTACCATTTCAAGCTCTTCGTTGGACTTGCACGACTTGAATTGCAATAAATAAACAGAAAACTTAGGGTGTTCTAAAACTTTTGACTGGTAGTGTATATAGTTAAATGTATGCTATTTAAAGTGGAACTAAACACAAAAACTGTGTATATGGAGCTTTAAAACTTAGACTTAGACAAACTTCTTTGATCCACAAGGGAAATTACTTGGACACAGTAGCTCACGCATCACAATATAATATAATAACAAAGAGCAACAATATAAATGGTGATAATAAATTCCAAATAAGTAGCAAAAAGCAAGAGACTGGTGAACAAATTGCATATGTACTCATAAAATATGTGAGTACAAAAATATCTAGGCTATTATCTACTGTTTCTTATCATTTTTGGCAACAAAATAGGTACATTCATTTGTCAAAAAATGCCTGAGTCAGAACAGAGCATTTTGAGAGACAGACTAATAAAAAAGGATTACTCAAACATGTGTGATTGAAACAAAACACAACTCCAGGTATGTTTTTGATTAGGTAACAAGAGTAAATTTTGTGTAATATAGGATTCATAGACAAAAGCTTAATCTACCGTGTGTAAAGTTTTAACCAGTTTTCTCCTCTGCAGCCTCTGAACCACGAGAAGCGTAAGGTGCACACTCTGAACATCGAGGTGTGGAACCCTCACTCCGACCCGCGCTTCTCTCACCTGGGGCCCTTCAGGGACACCACGTCTCTGCAGGTGATCGTGGGGGACGTGGACGAGCCTCCTCTCTTCTCCATGGACTTCTACATCCTGGACGTGTACGAGAACTCCCCCGCGGGCACGCAGGTGGGGACAGTGTCGGCGCGGGACCCAGACACCACCAACAGCGCCATCAGGTGGGCCGCTCTAAGGGTTTTACTTTGTGTTTTAGATAAATAATAGAATAAAAGATCCACCAGACACTGCTCTGAAGGTGAACTGTGCAAACAAGGAACGATGTAGTATTTATAAACCACACTTTGATAAATTATTGCACACCGAACATAAAATCTGCTGCTTGTATAATCCAAGATGGTTTCTTCATTTGTCATACAGTAGTTGGATATGAAAAGAAAAATTCAACTGGACAGAATGTTTTTGATTGAAGATGTTTCGCAGCACGAATACATTATTTACTTGACCTAGCAAATCAATCTACACTTTCAGTTTCAGTACAGTTTATTTGTTCAGACATTTCACACACGTTAAAGTATCTTACTGTTCTACTCTCCTTTAATTCCAGCTCCAACTTATTCTACACATTCCCTAAAACATTTGTCCAGTTACAGAATAGGCTTTTTTTCTTTTGTTATGGATGACTGAGGCATTACACACACGTAGTTGGGCAGGGACCATGTGGGTTTAGGTAAATGAGTTGCTGCTCAGGAGATCAGTGATGTGCTGGTGGACTCCAGAAAGTCCCTGTGAGTCCAGTGAGTGGAGCAGAAGTGATTAAACAGTACAGGAGATTCCTGCAGCTGGCCTATCTATACACTCAGCTATTGTGCATGAGTATTAGAACTGCACACACCCAAATCCAAAAATAGTAGATATATTTGATAGGTTATTTTTTATTTTATTTTATTTTTATGTGGATTTAAAGCATTAACTTCACCTGCATGATTTCTTGGAAATAGAAATGTAAATCTATGCTTCCGAACATTCTAGATGGAGATAAATGAGTTTTATGGCATACTGCATAATATTAAAGCCAAAGGAACAGCATCTCCATGGAAACAAGCAGGAAGACTCCCTTCTCTAGACCATACAACACATTAGAGTCAGGTTTGTGGAGATGCAAGCCCATTCACAGTTAGGACACCTGGTTTTTCACTAAAAGCTACATACTGTGGATTAAAGGAAAAGTTTGTTCACTAGACATAACTGAATACAATTGTACTTTTAATGTAGGAATAACTGATTTTAGCCACTGTTCTTTTACTCAAGTACAGATTTCTTGTACAATTTCCACCACTGGAGGATTGGAGGTGCCCTGTGCCCTCCTCTGTGCTGAGTGCTGGACTGTAAATGGCATTGTGGTTCCACTCTGTTCTGTCCAAAGCTGCTGGCTCACTGGCTGCTCCTCTGTAGGCTTTCAAACAGATCAGAGAGGGCACACACAAGAGCTGGCCCCGGGGCCTCAGAGGAGAAGAGAAGAGAGCAAATGTGCCACTGATAGAGCACAACAGAGCAGGGGTATGTATGGAGAGTTACCACGGTTACTGAATGAACTTCGCCTCTTAGACCTCGTCAGGGAGAGAGGCCAGAGATGAGAGGAAGGGGGAGCATGGTGTGGACTACTCAAGTGCTTCTCAAGTGGTGGACTAAGGGAGTGTGACATCACCAAACCTGACGCTAACATTCGCTCTGAGTCCCACCTTTCTTTGGTCCCCGTGCTAAATCACTCACCCTCGCAATGAAACAAGAACAAGGAAACAAGAAGGTGTCAGACTCTCCACCAGAATAAAATACTGAATAAAAAATACTATCTAATTGCTTATCTCCACAGGTACTTCATCGAGAAGGAGGAGGGCAGCCCCATGTTCTTCACCATCGGAGTGAACAGTGGACTGATCCGCACCAACCAGGCTCTGGACCGAGAGGAGGCAGCCTGGCACAACCTCACTGTGATGGCTGCAGAGGTTGGTAAGTTCACACATACACACAACATAACATTTTTTTTTACTGTTCAGTTTGGTCTCTGAGCATATAAGCTTTCATGTGGAAAGATGTTTTAATATTTAATTCGATCAACTTGCAGGGACGTTGTAACTTCAAAGGCTTTTTCACCCCATAAGTAGATCTAAACTCTAAAAACTGAGGGAAATTTAAATTGTTCTGGAATTTTTCAGTGAGATTAAGTTAAATATGATTCTTCGATCGTCGTAGCTTTTATGTTGCTGTGAACATGACAAGGACATGAGGAGGACATTTGGATCAACTTCATATCAGTGGCATGTCTCCTCCTGCCTCTGCTGTGCACTAGAGCGTTGTGCATTTTTTTTAAATCACAAGTAAATGCAGAGGAGGCTGATGGACCACTCCTCCTTCACCTCTGTATATGAGGAAACATCACTCTAGAAGTGAGTTTGGCAGAAGAGAGGAGTTTAATGTCCACATGTGTTGGGCAGATGCTCTTTCGCTCGTCTGTAAATGTGCAGTGACAGCAGGGCACCGTAGAGGGCGCCATGTGTCACTAAGGATTAGGACAGAGAACGAGGATGGCTCTGAGAAAGTAGGGAGGTGGAGAGAGAGAGGCAGAGGAGAGGAGACATAGTGAGAGAGAGGAACAGAGGAACAGAGGAAGAGCAGAGTGGAGAGCAGCAGAGGAGATGCAGAGAGAGAGAGAGGACACTTGTGGAGGACTTCCTCAGAGGTCACACAGAAGAGATGATCCAGGACAGAGGCTGAAATAACTGTGGAACATAAAAGCAGGTCAGCTCTGAGACTCTGCAGCTGCACCAGGCGATGTCCTCATACAGGAGCAAGCCGCATTACCCCACGTGTCAATACTCATTCTAGTTTCCACTTTCCTTTTTCCTCCATTTGGTGATTGGCGTAAAATATTGATATGGTCTCTGCGTCTTTATACATAGGGATGTCAGTCTGGTCACCACTTCTTCTGTCATGCCTTGAACCCGGAACACACACATCCAATCAGATTCCTTTATTTCAGTGATGCATGTGAAACAAAGGAGATCATTGGTCGTCTATCATTAACAACAAAATTACATTCTTCTCATAATTTTCTTTTTAAATTTAGTGCTTTGTTCATTGATTCTGCAGAAATCCACCATGTTTTTAAGTCTCCGGTGATATTTTCCTCTTTATTTTTCCCTTGAAAGCTGTCATATTTGTTGGACTATCCCTGATTGACTAATCCACTTGTCATCTGCCCATCTGAACTCTGGGAGATTCACTAGTGACCAGACTCACATCTTTGTAAAGTGACGAAGTGTGTAGTCTGGATCCCAGGCATTTGCTCCAGACAAGAAAGTGTCAGAGTGTCCACCTTAGTCCCTAACCCTTCATTCACTACATAGACCCACACTCTTTAGGGCTCTACTGACGGATTATTTGAATATGGATGAAGCTGTGACAGTAGCTAGCGATGTTGTCAGAGCACTAAAACAGTTTATCGCCATGTAATAAAATAATTTATGATGCGAAATTAACATTAGGTTAATTGGCTTTTAATTGGGTCTTTTAATTGGGTCTTAAATGCCAGTAGCCGGACATCCACTCATACCTGATTGACACGACTACCCCCCAGCCCCCAGGAGAGTCTGAAACCTGCTGAAATCCTACGAGACACCAGACAGGACAGCGGCTCTTTCTGCAGCCAATACGTGAAACAGAGTGCGAAGTCACGTAGTCTTATAATCCCTCTATATATAGTACTTATACTTTTGTTTAAGTTATGAACACGCTGAAGCACCCTGGCATACATCGACATACGGCAAAGAACATTTTTCGATGTATGCCAGCGTGCACTTATACCGCCTGCATACGCGGGCCATAAGTTCAAGGTAAATTATGTGATCGTTGACACACACTCACACACGTTAATTGTAAGTTACTCATGAGTCCAAATACGTTGAGATAATGTCTAGCATCCCCTTAACTTATGAGTAACGTGCTTTGAACCTGTGTGTAACTTATATTGAACTTATCTCCAACGCATATTGATGTTTGCAGACGTTTTTGGCATGTTCCAACGACCACAGAACTTACTGAACGTGTTTCTAACTTATAGCTACTGCGTAATGGCGTATTGGCAGTGTGTAGGGAAACTGGTTTATAAAAATGGGGAGGAAACCGTCGGTACTCCTCCAGACTTCATGGTGAGCAGACCCCGTGGTACCACCCGCTACACATATTATCTATACAAGAGATGGAGGATCCAGCGAGGCTGAGAGGAGAATAAGTGCGATAAGAAGGGTTCTTCAGAGTTGTCTTCGGCATGACACTGATTAATGTTGCTACTGCGATGTCTAGTGCAGTTATGAATTGTCGAGCGGCAGCCTTTTTACATCTGACAACACGTGAGGGTCGAAGATACGCTGTATAAGTTAGACTGTTGTTGGACATAAGTTGTGGACGCTGGCAACACACTAAGCATTAGCTGGTATAAGTAATATATACGTTATCAAAACGTTCTATATAAGTTACTAATATATTATGTATATGGCCAACTCATTACGAATACACTATGTAGATGCCCAAAATTGACAAAAAAAACATGAATAGTTCAGTGTATGCCAGCGTTTTAGGGAAATTCTGATACGTCGGCATATGCTGGCTAAATCGTCAAGGTGTGCCAGGGCTATAAACATAAAGAGGGTCCCAGTAGGGTTCGTGAGAGATCGCTAAATTACTCAAACACGCATGGACGACATCTAAAACCCGTTTTTGCTGAGGGAATAACATTCACGTTTATATAACATAGTAGAAAGCAATAAATTAAGTAATATGAGGTGGAAGTGGGTGCTTTTGCCTGATTTGTGACCAGCCTTGGTACAGTGCAAAACATTTCTAATATAAATTCCTCTTTCCCTCCCTAATAACCTCAGTGTGTTTGATATTAAGAGGCTTACCATTTCCACGGCTCACATTCAGGACTCTAAAGCACCATCTGAGGCTCCGAGAGGATTAGGATAAAAACGACTAGTCTGCTCTTCATACGAACCACTTACAATTCCACGCCAAATAACATGGATAGAATTCAGTTATATACGTATTGCTAATTTTATCTCTGTTAATCCATCTGTGTTGGCTTATTTCTTTCAATAATTTGGAGGAAAGAATCTTAAAAGGTGCTGTACCTGATTTTTTACCATTATACTCCCTCTTCTCTGACACCCGTGGATCATTACGTTATAATTTACACATTTTAAATTAAAATATACATCTAAAACCACTTAATAAAAGAAACAAGCCCGCTGACTTTCATGTTAGAAAACTAGTGCTGCATCTGATTGGTCTCCTTCATAATGAGCTTGTCTTCAGCCAATCATCGTAGTGGAATCTGAGGCTATTTAATTTTACTGCGTCTCATCTTTTCAAGATCTTGTATTGCACAAAATGTATTCTTTTGATATTTAAGCTCATCTGAGATCCCTGGATTTGTGTTTTGTTTCATTCACACATGTTTGAGTAATCCTTTATTATTAGTCTGTCTACATCCCCAAAGCTCAAAATGCCACCTTTGATGTCAAGTGGTAGTTTTCAAGTTAACAGCTACATTTTACCTTTAGTTCAGTAGAGATTGGCAATTCTACAACTGAGGCCCTGTTTACAAGTACATGGATATTTTTAAAAACTGAGATATTTCCCTTTGTTTGTACCATCTTTTACGTACAAACGGCAAATTCACCTCTGAAAATGAATCTTTCTAAAAACTCTGGTAAGAGATTCTGGTGATTTCTTCTGGTGCAAACACTTTTCATGTGTTTACATTTGCACACACAGCTGATGTTTCATATCCATGACCAGAGACTTACAACTGTAATGAAATAAATGCTACAGGTTTGAATATAATCCAGGTGCCCTCCAGAGGATTGGCGTAGTTATAATTGAGCTCGATGGAGTATTTAAGCAGGTTCATTTAAACGAAAACTTTTTTGAAAACAATGTTGTGTGCATAAAGTTAATTTGGAAAATGGAGGGAAATATTCGTTTATCAACATTCCCGGCTATGTGTAAACGTAGCCTGAAGTCATCCAAGTCATTCTAGTGAAGCTGTATGAAACACTGGAGTATTTCGAGCACCTGTATTACCACATGACTTCACAAGGTTGAACAGAGTGTTTTCCTAAATATACAGGATTGTGTTAAACATTTGTAAATGAAACAAAACACAATAGTGAGGAAACATCATTATAACATAGATCAGAAATCACTGTCAAATGGGACCTTTAAATAATACTGACAGTAACAGTGATGAGTAATTCAGTATTTGGAAACAGTTCCACAGATATTCTTGTGTGTGTGTTTGCAGATAACCCTCGTATGATGAGCTATGTGCAGGTCACCATCCAGGTCCTGGACGTCAACGACAATGTTCCATCTGTTGCCGGGGGCAACAGTGCCATCATCGCCTGTGATAACACCAAGATGGGGCAGGTCAGTCCAGCGGTTTAAGGTCCTGAACCTGATTTCAGTTTGAACTTTTAGCTCTGCCTACTTACGGTAGTCCTTTCTGCCGGTGTGATATTGTGAGGTGGTAGAGTAGCCAAAAATAGTACTTACGTAAGTGGGATTTTGCTTAAAGTGGTAAATGAAAGTGTAACAGTCAGAACTCACAAACACCTGGCTGCAGGGGCAGAGTGTGGAGTGTGAATATATGTTAGACCAATCACATGGGCGTTTTTTCTGTCCCTGTACTTGTGCACACTTGTGTGCTTGTATATTTGTAAAAAAATATCCTCCACACTCAAGGTCCTGTTCTAATTCAAAGTCCACTGGAAACCCACGGGGGATTATTTGCGCTGCCTGTTTTACTGGGGATGCATCAGAGGAGACTTGTCCATACTTGGGCAAGTGTATTTCCCATAATGCACTACAGATTGCACATGCACAGGTGACTGATCAGTGTGACCCTCACATGTGCGTGGAGAGTGCTCAGGCAGGTACAGCGTACATGGAAAGGAATGCACTTAATAATCTAAAGGTTTTATTTGGAACAATTTCGCTAAACACGGCACATACAGCCAGTGTCTACGAAACCTTTGTTTTCAGTAGGATATTCCTCCTATTTAGACACAATATCAAGCCATAATAATATGGGGACAAATGCTGGGATCTTTTCAGAAAACCAGAACATTTTGTCTGAATACAGAATACATTTTTTGTGAGCCAAATGTATTTCTCTAAATTCAAGAATTAGAATGCAGTGTATTTTAGACTTATTTTCTTACACAAGTTCAAATGCAGCCTTTGAGAATAATTTGAGAGAGCTCAGACATTTCACCTAAATGATGAAGAGGGCTGAGAATATGTTAGGCTCTATTATGGATAAGTCTACTGATTTATTTATTAGTATTCACATTTACTATGAGCCTTTATTACAGCAAGCACCACATGAACTTTATTTCCTGTGATCACACCAAGTGCATTTGTCCCAAAAGCTGAAAGACCTAAATGTGTGTGAACTCCTCGAGTCTATTCTCTGAATCTGCTCCACAGGACAGTACCATGAGTGCACGAGTACAGAGTCTGCAGCCTGGGAATTGAGAAACGGCCTCTGTTCCTTACACCCCCAGACCCCGCCCTCCTCTCCCCTCACTCTTTTCTTTAGCCCTTCAGGCACTGCCCAGTTTAACTGTTTTGTCCCACTTTAAGCTACTTTGTGCTGAGCTTAACAGTAAACACCATGTACACAGTTTACAGCAAAGAGGTTGTGTCAGTGTTTAGTCCAAATGTTTTTCACATACTTCCCAGGTGAGGCGACACATGGCTGTGTTTCCTACATAAGGCACTAAATAGGTGTCATGCCATTTTTAGTACCGTCTGAACGTCCAGTGGGTGAAAAAGTAGTGCACTAAAAAATTCCCATAATACCTCTTGAAAAGTAGTGCACAGGACAATGTAGTGAGCTGTGTTTCTGTGTGGCTCTGTGAATGAGTGCTTTATATTGATATGTTTTAGTGACATCACGCTGGGGGTGTTCAACATGTATCTCTATGTTGGAATGTTCAGTCACAATGCACCCAGTAGAAAACACATGTCAAAAGGATTTTAAGATCATCTGAAAACTCAGAAAAAATACAAAATGGATTTAAACAGAACATTTTCCGTAGCCTGTGATGAATAAGACTACGTTCAGACTGCAGGGCTTAACGCTCAATTCAGATTTTTTGGGTGAAATCCGATGTTTTTGCGAGGTCGTTCACATTTCCAATTAAATGCGACTTGTATGTGATCTCCAGTGTGAACAGTAAACACCCCAAAAGTGTCCCGCATGCGCACTGTAGGACACAATGACGTCAACTGCAGCGAGCGTGCTCTGTGTTTACTTAAGTTGTCTAAACATGGACGTGAGCATTGAGTACCTGGTGATTTTAAAGTTCCTCTCATACCAGAGCCAGAACATGAACAACTTACTTGTTTTAAGCTGGAGATTGAGAAGGATGAGGTTTTTGGTCGTGGCGTTTTGTGGGACAGCGGCAGCAACGTCCATTAAAAGGAATGTGTGGATGCGCAGACGTAGCCAAGAGTGGTGAGTTACGATGCGCTTCGCTTCAGTGACACGGAGTTCATTAACAATTTTCGCCTACTTCAGCGCAGAATAGTGACATTTGATGGCTTGTTTGAAGTCCTGGGTCGCATTTGAAAAAAATGGATCTGTGTCGTTCAGACTGTCATTAAAACATCAGATAAAGGCCACATAGAGGCCAAAAAAATCGGATTTGGGTCACTTCAGGCTGCAGTCTGAATGTAGCCTTAAGAGCGCTCATGGTCCTGTTTAGGCGTTTGATTTTGAACAAAAAGATGAGCGAGAGGGACTGAAAAACTGTTGGCTAATGTGAGCTATACTTGTGACTGTAATTTTATTTGAGAGGAACTTGTTTAACCATAAAAATCAACTCACCTCTTGTAGTTCCAGCTAAATCAGTACTTTCTGGTCAGACTGTAGCTCAGATTAAACTCTAACAGAGCTTCAGACAGAGCAGTGCCTACACTTAGCGTCACAGCCCCAGGGAATATTGATGACATCAGCCGCGAAGTATCAGTAGCGTCTGATAAAGAGAGCAGGACCTGAGAGGTGCAGACAGATCCATAAATCATTCTGAGATGTTTCTGCTGAGGGCAGACTTCTGCAGAGGATCATCTCCCACACAGACCCGCATACACACACTACTCACTTCGATTTAAATGGCATTTTTAGCACAGGAGTTATTTTTAAGGTCAGGTTTGTTGCAGCCAGTAAAGTAATAACTCATACAGTATTATTAGTTTTAAGATAATACCATGACAATGTCGTAATAAAAGCCAATGTCATAACCCCTTAATGTCACGTCTGTTGTGGGCTGATTATTGCATTTTGATTTATTGTCCCGAAACAAAACTGTAGATAGGTTGAACCTGAGAACACATCCAAGTTTGTCTCATTCTCAGTGTATGGACAGGCCTCATGTGAAAGCTCAGAACCTCCAGAATTGCACTAGCAGCCAAACCTCGTCAGATCTGGACTTGTGTTTTTAGGTTATTTTTTCAGGCCAAGAGTTTGTTTTCATATCTGACAGTTTCGACTGCTCACTTTTTTGGCGCTCTTTTCCTACTGGTAGAGGCAGGACGACAGCGCCATCTGCAGTCCGACTTCCTCAGGACATTATCCCAGGTGTGTGAGAATAAAAAAGCCCCCTCGTCCTGGTTTATCGTCCTGTGGGCACGTTTCTGTATTTCAACTGCCTCTTTCATCCAGCGACGATGTTTGTTTTCCTCTGTCCCAATTATGTTTGCTCCATCCCAGTCCATAATGTGGTTCTCTCTTTTACAGTGGTCAGAAATGGCCGATTTGAGTTGTTCCTGTTCTACTTTGTGTTTCGTTGCTCGTGTGCACACCTTCACTGTTTCCTTCTCACATTCTGTTCTATGTTCCTTTTTTCATGTACTAAACACCCTCCCTGTTTCCCCGATGTATGTTTTATTGCAGGACATGCAGGGTATTTCATATATGATATTACATTTACGCTCCGGTTCTATTTTGTCTTTCGGTGGACAAGTATTTGCCTGAGTTTTCTGTACGATTTCACTGGTGTGTTGATATTGTGTCTGGATTTGGTCAGTACTTGGATGGAAGACCACTAGAAATTCCAGGTGCCACAGGGGGCGCCAGTGCCAAGAACTGTTGTTGCGTACTTAGGGAAGACACTTCACCCACATTGTTTAGTATGAAAGTGGTGTGAGCGTTGGTGATGGTTTGGAGGGGCTGATGGTGCAGATTGGCAACCTCGCTACTGCCAGTCTGCTCCAGGGCAGCTGTGGCTCGATGGTGGCATAGTATCGAACCACCATCGAGTATGAAGGGAATGAATAATGCACCAAATTGTAAAGTGACTTTGAGTGTCTAGAAAAGCGCTATATAAGACTTATGCATTATTATTATTATTATAGCACTGATTCATGGGTTTCGGCAGTGACCATTCAGATCAGAGAGAGACATTTTAGGTTTAAACCAACTGGATTCCAGCATTAAAACTCCTGCAGCGAGTGACTCATCCATGTCTTCTTTTGCTGGAGCAGGAGACGGGGGGGAAGGTTAAGAAGATCTATGTGACCTGAGTGTTGCAGAGCTGAACTTAAGTCAACTTTATGCAAATGTTGAGCGATATCACCAAGGCAACGGCTGCTCAGTGAACACCTTTAGACAGACACAATCGAGGCGTTGGTTGAAGGGTAAAGCGGCTCCTAATGACCCAGCCTGTGGTCCGCCTCCTGCAGAGGGCTGGAGACAGCACCAGTTCTGTCACTCTTGTTGTGAGTCTGGTGTCATGTGAGGCTCATTTTGTGAGTTAGTTAGACTTTCAAAATACCATTTAAAGGACGCTGGACTGCTTGAACTAAACTCGGAGCTCGGATGATGAGACTTTAATGCACATGTAAACAGGATGTGCTTTGCTCACGAGGCTAGAGAGAGGGAGGAAAATGGCAGGAGGAAGTGAAGAGGACAAATAACGCAGCGGTGATCATTAGTAAGTAGCACAAATGTGTGAGTGTGTCCTTCTAGGGGCCATGAGAGGAGCACACCACGCAAATTAGGTCACAAGGACAAGTTTAAAGTGTAAAAATCCCCAAAACTATACTAAATGTACAACAAAAAAAGATCCCCATGATAAATACTGACCAACAACATCTCTCACGTATTCAACAAAGTCAGTATAGTATTTATAGTGACAGATCTAGACAAAACCCTGCCATCACTGCTTTATATACCCACGTGCAGCTGGAATCTACACAAGTGCAAGCAGGTTCCATCACGGCTCATATGTAGACTGGACCTTTTACCTTTAGTTCAGTAAAGATTGGCGATGGTGGAACAGAGCGTAAATATATTCAGGGTTTGTGTGAATGAAAAAAAACACAACTCCAGGTCTGTTTGTGATGACGAAACTATATTATAA